TTTCAGGTGCGACGAGGGTGGATGGGTCGACATTGATGCTGTCATTGACGACCGGAACAACGACATATTCCCACCTAACACCTCGAGAGCGAAACGATACATGGGCATCATGGAGGTGATCAAGTGGCAGGAATCCGGAAGCAAGAAGTCGAGATTCCAGGTTCTGGCAGCAAGGTTTCCGAGCATCATGAACCCGAACGACACGAGGGCAGCCAGGGAGGAAATGAACAAGGCTGGCGTGGATCGGGACGACATCGACAGGATGTTCAACAGATGCGATGGATGGTACAGACCTTGGTGCATCCGAGTCACAACCGGTCACAGTGATTTTGGATTCATGAGCTCATCCGCACTGGCGAATAGGTATTCCGCAAGAATGGGTGATACTCTCGGAGGAGCATTCCATGTGACGTATGTGGAAAACCTGCCAAGCATCGTACGCTGTGGGCTAGTCCCCGGCGGAATCGATGGCGGTAACAGGCTAGCACTGCACTTCGGGGCATTTGCTCCATGGGATGAGATGAACGTGGCGACGAAGACAACGCTACGGAACGTGAGGAGAGGGGATCCGATTGCGATCATCTATATTCCCAGTGCAACCCTCGCGCGGTATGGGGCTGGAGTCGCGGCTAATGGGACTTTCATGGTCTTTGACGTGATCCCGTTCTATGAGGTCAAGTCCATTTGGATTGGCAAAAGCAATGGAGGGAAGCGCCTGGAGTACGCTGACATCAAGAGGGCGTACTCGAAGTGTGTGGAGAACGAGATCTGCCCTGGCTTTGTCAACTCTTCCCAAGAGTCGGCTGCGATGTTCCTCCAGAACGTCGCAAAGATCAGCGAGAGGATGCCGGAGACTGAGACAGGTGCCGATAATCTGCACTACATCGTTGACATGGTTAATCGTGCTTGCGAACTCTATCGAAACAACAAGATGGAAGAGTTCAACGCACAGGTCAACGAGGTCCGGGACGAAGTCAGCAAAGTCGTCATCCTGAATGATGAGACATGGGAAGGACTGAGGTGCCGGATATGTCCATCATGTGCGACCGCGATCCCCACCTGCTTCTGCTTATGCCTGGAGTGCGAGGCACAACTGATCTCCATCGGAAGATACTACATTCACATCAAATCCGATGACGAGGAGGACAACCAAAACCCCAACGTCTCTGGAGATGCCAGGCGTGCACAGGAAGAAGCTAACCACGATGCGGCAGCACAGGAGGATGAAGACGAAGCGGAGGAAGTTCCGGGAGAAGATGACGACATGGACACGCAAGGATATACATCCGGCTATGCGTCAGAAGAAGAAGACGGCGGTTGGCATTACCGCGACACCGATCTGACGTCACGGGACATTATAAGTTCCCAACGGATGGCGATCTGCCTTGACGAGCCGCGTGAGGCTCAGTACATGGCAGGATTTATCGCACTCCAGCTGTCCAAGATGTGGGGGATGTTTGAAGGTGGTGAGGATAGAACGATGATTGCCAAGCTCGAGGGGAGAGAGGGCTGCCCTTACCACAATGACTTCAAGAGGTACCCCAACATCACTGAGCATGATCAGGAAGGTATACTTTTGCCATCAACAATAACGAAGATTTCTCAATCGGAGAATGTTCGGACAAGAGCCTTCCGATCGGTTGAGGAGCGTGACGAATATATTCGTATGATGGTGAACAAATGCGAGGGACTATACACATTCTACAAGCTGTGGATTGCAGCAAGAATCCTCGATGTCACCAAGGAAGAAATGAAGCTCCTGGTCAAGGACCGAGTGCACCCGGTGGGTGATATTATTTTCAGATGTTTTGCACTAGCTTTCAACTGCAAGTATATATCATTCGTGAGGGATGGCCTGAACCTTGGCAAGCATGGTTACGCGGTCAACGTGAGCGCCATCATCTCGGCCGTCGACCCGAACAAATGCGACACACCCCTGCTGGATTGGTGCCTTCGGAAAGGGCACTGGTTGCCAGAGGACTACAACAAGAAGTGTGTCCGGGCACGAGAAGCCCAGAAGAACTTGGACGAGGAGTTCCGCCGACGTACCCATAGGCTGTCCATTGGGGACAGGTATGCTTCGTGAAGATGATGATTGCGGTACGATGTGGGCCAGTCCCCATCTGTTACTTGCGTCACATCGACACTGTTTCGGTGGAACGACTTATGTCATGATTTATATTCATGTGTCCAAGATGATTGGGTGTGTACATGGTTACATATTCCGATGACTATGACGCTCTGGATATTCATGGATGGAACTATTACCTTATAGATGATATCTTTTCATTATTTATGCATTGTCCATGGTATCTGGAATGGCTATGATTTGCATTGATTACTCACCGATGTTTCTTTGCCGGAGATATGCAGACCGATCACAAGCGGGCGCGTATGGTGGACATTTATGGCCAACCCATTTATGGATGACAGCTGCGCGATGCGCAAATGCGGCAGCTGGAATGTTCACTGGCGGTCAAGTGAAGTGGCCACAGTGTATTATATACACCTGCATATGGATGAGTGCTTCGATTGGAGGATGAATGTTTCACTTTTCGTACAATCGAACCCGGCATGTTTCACAGCGAATGAACGGTGTAGTGATAGCAAGTAAAAGAGTGCACGACACGATTTCGTAGTTGAAGCCGTGGCCAGTGGAACGTTTTGTGGTGTTTGGACCGCATGATGAACAATGCGACCCAAATGGGGGATGTTAAAACCCTCTAGGCCCCGTGCCGAAATTGGGTAGCAGTTCTGAGGTCCTTGTTGGTGTTGCTTCCCAAGTTCCATTGATCGCCATTTGGCTCAAGACACAATTGAGGTTCAAGATCCGATGTGTGACTGCGGATCTCCGTGATTGGCACAAAGAGCAAAAACAACCGCTTGCGCCGCAGGGTCAGGACTACTGCTGTGATTATCATTCCTTCTTCCTTACAACGTTTACACGGGTTCGGCTATAACGGCATCGTCCGTATACACCTTTCTACGTGGTTGGTATTGAAGCTTGAGGGTTCGGTGCACAGCGTCCCACGGGACGTCACCTTGCCGTCTCTTGACACTCCGCATACTACGTCTGTACTTAAAAGTTGCGATTTGCCAGCCGGAGCTGCAGGAGCACGCTCCGCGTACTACGTCTGTACTTAAAAGTTGCGATTTGCCAGCCGGAGCTGCAGGAGCACGCTCCGCGTACTACGTTTGTACTTAAAAGCTGCGATTTTCAAGCCGGAGCTGCCGCGGACCAGGGGGGAATCGAACCCGAGACCGCGGGATTGCGAAAGCAGGCGCGCAAACCACGAGACAACTTCCAAAGGCCGTTTCGCGAGCAAGAAAATCGCACGGCGCCACAGCGAGAGCGCTTCGACACGCACGATCTCCGCAGAGGGTTCATCGGGCTCAAGACAGATGCGCACGGCGCCACAGCGAGAGCGATCCGACACGCACGATCTCCGCAGAGGGCTCGCCGCGCCAAGACAAATTCGCACGGCGCCACAGCGAGAGCGCTTCGACGCGCAGGATCTCCGCAGAGGGTTCGCCAAGGTCAAGACAAATTCGCACGGCGCCACAGCGAGAGCGCTTCGACACGCACGATCTCCGCAGAGGGTTCGCCGCGTCAAGACAAATTCGCACGGCGCCACAGCGAGAGCGCTTCGACACGCACGATCTCCGCAGAGGGTTCGCCGGGCTCAAGACAAATTCGCACGGCGCCACAGCGAGAGCGCTTCGACACGCACGATCTCCGCAGAGGGTTCGCCGCGCTCAAGACAAATTCGCACGGCGCCACAGCGAGAGCGATTCGACACGCACGATCTCCGCAGAGGGTACGTTTCGTAAGCTCCCGTCGGGCCTACCCCCGCCATAAAAAGAAGAAGAATTAAGAGTCGAGATGTGAAGGTAGAAAAGAAAAGTTAGCTTGTGTCTTTAGGATAATGAGATAACACCCGAAAAGTCGATATGAAGGTAGAGAAGAAAAGTTAGCTTGTGTTTTTAGGATAATGAGATAACACCCGAAAAGTTGACATGAGAAGTTGGCTGGTGAAGTAACTCTCGAAAAGCTGGCATGAGAAGTTGGCAGGTGAAGTAACTCTCGAAAAGTTGGCATGAGAAGTTGGCAGGTGAAGTAACTCTCGAAAAGTTGGCATGAGAAGTTGGCAGATGAAATAACTCTCGAAAAGTTGGCAAGAGAAGTTGGCAGGTGAAGTAACTCTCGAGAAGTTGGCATGAGAAGTTGGCAGGTGAAGTTGGCAGCCGCTTTTAGAAGAAGAACCCTTCGCAATGCTTCCGGGAAAAACCTATAGACAACATATCAACAAAAGCAATACAGAACACATCGCCCCCATGCCAAAAGCATGGTCCATTCTGGACCAGGCATGGGGTCGGCGGATTTAGAGGGAAATCATGATTTTAGGGTTTCTTAGCTGGTGCAGGAATTCTTCCATCCACAGTATGGGCCATGAAGTGAGTTTGTGTTGCCCGACCGGGCTGAAAACAACCGAAACAATGATTGCAGGCAGATCTCCGAGGCAAAGTTAAAAATGTTAAAACTTTGCGTTTGGCAAATGCCGGGTAAGGTCACAAAGCGGCAGGTGTCAAGGCACAGGTTACCGATTGTGTATTGTTTTACATACCCCGTATTGCAAAGAACTGGTTTATGTCATTTGATTGCACCTTCGAGTCTAGTCTGTGGTGTTAGGTTTTGTTTATATGAACCCCTCTATAACATTAACACCGACTAACCCCTTCTATCACCGACCCCTCTACAACCCCTCTGAAATGTGGTTTGTTCGTATTCTTCACCTTGTTTGTAACCCCTCTCTATGCCAGGAGGTCACAGGAGGCTTCATGGATTGCCTCACCTTGGATGTGATCCGACCCAAAGTAGCCATGCAAACTTCAACTTCAGGTTTGCACCTCGGGGATCAGACTGTCTGATTTCATAAGTCAACCGACTCCAATGTCCCTTTGAGGGATTGCGGCTCCTCAGTTCGCTTTTCGGAGCCGAGGCGGGGCAATACATTCTGCTGGGCTGGAAGGGCGAGTTCCATCCCTTCACCCTCACCTCAGCGCCGGAGGAGTGGATCGATCTAGCGGGTTTTTGATGTGACTTTTGGGGAACACTTACTTGGACATGATTTGTAATCAGGCGTCCCTGCTGGACAGCATTTAGGCAGGGATCGACCCACTTTGAGGGGGTTCCCTATTGAAATTGAATAGCCATTTTCAGTCTGGAGATCACGATTATTCGCCCAAGAAACGAGGGTTCTTCAGTTTGGCTTTCCAAGATCGATTTCATTTGTCCAAGGGTCATTGCGGAAGTTGCGAGTTGCAGCGAAGCAGAGCACCCTGCAAAATGTATGCGGTCTTGTAAGCATTTGACGTGAAGTTGCAGCAGACTTAACGACGAATTTTGTCATCTACTTGCATCACCCAAGATAGCGCCTCGTTCAACTGGGCAGTCTTTCACTTGACATCCAGAAACCTCCAAGGGAAGGCTTAGCTGAGTGGCACGCCCAGCGTCAACAATCACGCAGCCTATTCCAGAAGTGAACCTAGTACATGGTCATGTGTATGCACTATCACATATATATACACATATACACATATGCGCATGTATTATATATACATACACATATTTACACATGCAGACTTGGACCAATTATATGCACCTCGGAGAGTGGGTTTGCAACCTCAGGTTCTCATGCAGATCACTGTTGTTGTTTCCCCGGCATGCGAATTAGTATAAGTCGCTCTGATATAGATGTTAGTACAGCACCAACTCATGTCTTGTTGAAAAAAACGCCTGCTTGTGTGTTGGTGCATTATTTGTATAGGATATATATATATATATGTATATGTATATACATATTCACGTGTAGAACATGTATACATGCATATATTGCTGCATGCCAGGCGTAGGTATCTCAGAGACAGACGGTTTAGCGACCAGCCCAAGCGGAGGAGAGCTGCATCTCAGTGCACATCCGCGCGCCCAACAGCTGCGACTGGTCCCCTGGTCTTTTTCAGATAATGCAAGTGGCCACATTCGGATCCATGCTGGATAGATGAAAGCTGGCAAACATCTCGATTGTGCTATGGTTTTGTGGTCGATTTCTTGGTATTAATTGCAACCCACCCAGAAAAGGGGGCCAGCCTTTTTTTTCTGGCACCTCCCTGGGCAGTGGGATCCGATGTCACATTGGTGTGCAAAGTCTCATCCAGTCATGTTCGATTTGACTACATGGCTATCAACATTGGTGTGTATGACTTAGACTACACTCCTTTTTGGGAAGATGATAGGAGCTTTTCTCCAAAGTTGAGATTTGAGAGAGATCCTCCCATTTGCTAGCCATGTCAAAGCCTTATGAATTTGCTGGTGCTCAGTAGGGTGTTGGGAATGAACCGTTTCGGGATTCCCTTAAAGGAAACCGACTCTGGGATGGTTTTTCTTGATTCCATGGGGTCATTCCATTTCTCATTCCGTTGTTGCACCAGGGCCGTGCCGCGCGCCGTGTCAAAGCCGTCCCGAAGCCGTGCAGGTGCTCCGCGCTCCGGAAGCGGCTCACGGAGACGGCGCCCGCGCAGGCGGTGGGCGATGCCCCGAAGGCACCCAAGGCGCAGATGGAGCGAGCGAGAGCCATGGGCAAAACCGGTTCATGCCCAAAACCCAGAAGGTCGTTCTTTGCTGAGCCAGCAAGTTAGGGTTGGTTTCAAGTTGGAAACCAAAGGGAAAATGACATACTTCAAGTTCGACCATCATTTCAACTGGGGGTTGAAGCCTAGGGCGTTTTTTTATTGGTTCTGCGGGTGGTGTTAGAATCACCGTGTTGCTCCGCTAATTGCGGTTAACCACGATTTAATGGGGGGTGAAGCTTGGTGGCTAGCTGATGGGAAGGTTTTTGCGGAAAGCCACCCTCGCATCCACCTGGAACCAGCTTCCTCTAGGGAGCCATTGGTGGGTTGCATGTTTGGCAGGATGGCTAGGGTTCCTGTCTACTTCCATGATTGGAAGGTTGGCACGTGGTTTTGTCGGTTGAGGCTATGAGGTGGTGTAAGAAACCCTCTGAAAGGCTAACTGGATAGGGCCAAAGACTCCAGGACTGTAGGGCTCCGGCGGAAAAGCGAGTGGACTCAAACCTTGGGGGGCAGTTTCCAGATTTTGTCCTCAGGTAAGACTTGGACCAGCAAGCCCTGGTTTTTGTTTGTGACGTCAGTTTTCCAGAGTCCTTTTCGCCGAAGCCCTCGAGACGTTTTCGTGTTTTCCCCCTGTACCTAAAGAGCTGCACAGGACCAGATCCTTCTCTCACGGCCACAGGGTACGATTGGATAGACAGCCGTTGACCAGAAGTTTCCGGAAAGCTGAGAGGGTACTTGGACGTTCGGCCAGGTTTGTAAGTGGTTAGCCACTTGGGTTATAACACACTCATAGCAAGAGTAGCCCCACTTAGGGCACTTACAAGTGGGTTATAGCCTAGGTTACCAACTTTCTAACTTTCAGCTGGCAAGTTTGGTTACAACAGCGCAGCCCCTCGTGCCATCGCTTTCAGGCGCCTCAAGTCTTCGAGTACAAAAAGCACACGCTGCAGAATAGCGGCTAGGCCGCCTTTCAGACAACCCGGTTCTTCGCTTTATTCGGGATGGTCATAGGCAATCCGTTATCCTTGGGTCATGAAAGGGGGTCCCCAATTTTGAGGGTTTTCCACTTGGGATTATGGATTGGGATTGGCCAACACCCTGAAAATTGACCCGGAGCTGCGCAAGATCGAATGGCTTCCGGTTCCCTCCCCACAAGCGTACTGGGAACCCCAGATCTAAGTAGAACCCCTGGTTGGTTTTTATCGGAGGGTGCCCCCTTTTATCATTTTGGAGCTCTGAGCACCCCCCCCCCACGTTAAATAGGACGGGTTTCCGGGGATCAACATTTCCCACAAGACGCACCCGACTTCGTTGATTCGTAGGTTGATCCGGATGTCCTAACTGGGACACCCCCTCAATGAAAATCAAGCTCCAATGGGACACCCCCGTTACACTTTGACCGAGGCCAAATCGTGTACAACGTGCCCAAGGTCACAGTGATGCCTGGCGGCCGCGCCAATGTGAGCTCAGCTGTTCCCACTGCTACAGACAAGGCCATGAACATGGCTGGCTGGCTGGGTGGGCGGGCGGGTGTCATGGTCAGCGGAACAACACCCATTTTAAGGGTAGTCTATGGTCGATTTCGTGAGGTCTTTGCGCATTCGCAATGTCACATGCGGTCCATTTCAGGCAACTGAATGGTGTAGGTCATGGCAAAAAGGCACTGAATTACTAGGGTGGCAGCCAGCAGTAACTATTGAGGGCGACTGATCTAGCAGAGTTCACCCACTTTCGATTGTGGGTATCTTCCAGAGCTGCGAGTCCTGACACATTTTGAAGCTTGCCACCTTCCACACACCTATGCCTCCCAAACCTGTCACAATTGCCCGAATACGAGCAAGTTGCATTCTGCAGCGGGCACTCTAACCCAACCGGCACATTCGAATTTCGCACCGGTCAAAGCCCCTTGAGCACCTGTCAAATGGAGCCAAACCCAATCTTCAGACACTCAGTGCTTGTTGATTGGTGATTTTTGTTTTGAGGGGTTTTCCTTTAAAGTCAACTACCAATAAACGAGTGCCCTTTCTTCCAATGGAAATCCAGTTGCTTTCTACCGGGGCGGCGGACGCAGGTGGCGCTGCCGGGGCAGGTGGCCCCGCCGTCGCTGCCCACCGACAGTTCGGCGCCCTCCAAGCCACCACCCCTGCGGCCCGAAGGCGCGAGTCGGAGTCCAGCGGAACGTCGGGCGTTTCCGGTTCTCGAGGATTTTGCTTCGGATTGCGACACGTTTGGCCCCTAAGTTTGAGACCAAGAGCCCGGCAACCACAACAACGACAGCGGCAGCCGCAGCCGCAGCAGCAGCAGTAACAACAAAAGCCAACAAGAACGACCAAGAGGAAGTTGTGGCGGTCCCTTTGAACCAGCCCTAAGGGTACCCTCCAAAGGCAAACCTGGAATGCGTGACGGACAGGCGATCCCATGTCCAAGTCGGGGGAGAGCCTCATGAGCACCTTGGATATGATGGGATTGGACCGGGTGCGAAATAGAACGTTAATTTCCCCAAGGAGAAACCATGAGTGAGAAACCATGTGTTATTTTTCTTGGGGGGGTTAACAAGAAGTGTATTTTTCCAGACCCCCTATTGAGCACCCAGTGGATGTGATGCCAAGCTATGATGCAACGAGCTATGCTTACGAAATCGGCCGAACGGCCTAGCGAACCTCGGTGGTGGGATGGGGTCGGGGTACTCCCCAGGCGGCGTTTCGACTTGTTTGTTCGCCTTGCGCCCCATCTACATCGGGGGTCTCCATTTTGATTCATACCGATTCTTTAAGTCATGCTTATGTGTGGTCGCAATGCTTGCCCTATTTATCGTTGGAGCGTGTTTTAATTACATCTTTCGCAGTTTCACCTAAAAGGTGTAGTTTGCTCGACACTGCTCAGGGCGTGCAGGTTTGAAAGTCTCCATTAATTTCTGTGATTTTGGTGTCGGATTTGTAGATGTGAAAGAACGCACTCGCAAATGTAAGCCTTGGACCTTTGCATTCTGACTTTGGCATTGCAGGATGAGAGTGCTACCCAGATGCTGGCTCATTATGTAGCTTGTTTTGAATCTACAGTAGAACTTAGAGCGGCGATATGCTTATTTAGCCATCATGTTTTGAAGATTGAGCTTGCATTGCGCAATAATTCCAATCCATGTGAAGCATATCACCAAGCAGAAGATACACATATCATTGTGACCGGCCAGGCTTCCAATGGTTGAATTGCCTTGGCTATAACCGAGGCAAACAGAAACCAACAACTGGCTCCCTTAGGGTAGTTGCATGATGATGGGTTCTCAAAATTGTGTTGGGGGTTGTTTCCCTATAAGTGATGTAAATGATCGTTTTGTGGATGTCACTTTAGTGGACCCAGGTCAAGCCCAGGCCTGTTTGCTTGGCGAAATTCAGTGTTGCCGAAACATATGTTGCTGCCATATCTTGAGCACCGTTGCTTGCTTCACAATCCGCCTGATTCCATCCAGCTGTCTGGCGGACAATATATACTAGAGCCTCTTCCTACAAGGCTCACCTCTTTTTAGTGGACAAGTCACCGTACACAGACACACATTATATATGTACATATACATATATGATACACATGGCGTATGTGGACAATCATCAGATTTGCACACATTGTCGCGTGGTGAGCTCCACTTCCAGCCTGTGCCCACAAGTTCAGTCTTGCATTACCGAGGTTCGGCTGCAGAACAGTTGCTTCCCCCGGAGGCAAAGAGCTTTCTTGTGCACCTGCCGGCCCGTTGCAAACAGTAACTGCAACCCCGGGTACAAAGGGTCTATGGGTGAATATTGGGGGGTGGACTACGGGTGCCGCGGGCGTTGCAAAAATGTAGACCTTGTGTGTGTGTGTGTATGTGTGCACCATTTGAGACAGAGGACATTGTGAAACAGGGTCGCCTTTTTGGCATTTGTAAAGAGCCACAGAACAAGTTGACCACGTGATTGCGCCCCTCAGCCTGTCGTTGATTTTTGGTTTACCCCAAAATGCATATTTTGCCGGGGTAACACCTGTTGGTTTCCCTCTTTCCACCCTGGGGCCCCCCAAAATGGCACGGACCCATTTCCTGCTTTTTTCTGGCACTTGGCGCACTTGGGGTGTTTGACCTTAGCCATCCACGCGACTCGCGTCGTCTCCACTCGTCTCCACTCGTCCATCAGGCGGTGGTGCTGCAGGTCACGGGGCCCTTCGGGGCGCCGGCGCAGAAGGTCTGGGGCTTCGACACGCTGATGGTGGTGGGCGCCGGGATCGGCGCGCCCCGGGCGAATGCCATATGCATGCCTTCCTGTTGGGGGTTGGGGCGGTTTTTTGGGCCCAGGAAAAAAGAACTGAACGCAAAGAAATGGAACTCGATCGTTTTCCTGAAAGGGTCATTGGGTTGCAACTGGAAGATACAGGTTGTTCTGTTCTTTTTGAAGGGAGAACTCCTTTATGATCAATGGTGAAACGGGGTGCTCTATTTTGTCATGGTCGCTGGAGGACTGGGAATGTGGAACTTGGTTGATGTGTGCCTGGTGGGTCTGTGCCTCGGTGTTGATTGCATGGGGGCTTGGGTGGGATTCTTTGTGGGTTTGGGAGGGGGGTAGCGAGAGAGAGGGGAGGTGGCGCGCGGATGGGGAGGGACGGAAACTGAGAAAGGGAAGGGGAAGGAAGGCAACGAAACAAGGGAAGAAAGGAGAAAGGGAAGCATGGATGCAGGTGGGATAGAAGTAGAAAGTCCAAGCGGCTCGAAAAAAAGAAACGAGCAAGCAAGCTAGGAAGGCACAGAGCCCAGAGCATTTTTTCTAGTTTCTGTGCAGCCACTGAGTTTGGGATTCTTTGCTGTGTTTACTATCTTACTGTCATGGTGACAGGGATTGTCTTTCAATCGGGACCCCAAAAAATGGGTGGCCTCCTACTGTAGTAATACTGTAGAAAGGGGATGGCATTGGGGACACTCACCGAATTGGCATTAGAGAATGGGGGTCGCCAAAATCGCAAGAGGGAACGAATTAGTACTAGCTGTGGCTCACATGCAATTCCATGTCGCTTGACAAAACACAGGAACCTTACATGGATTCGGTTTGCCACCTCCGGCCCTGCGTTGAAGCTTGCTGTTTGCTGGGTCAACGGTTGATAACATGTTTGCCCACCAACGTGATGACCAAGATTCAATCCTGGGTTCAGGGGCCCTAAGAGTACATACCAACTATACTACACCAATTGTTTTGTGAGTACAGATATGAATTTGAATGGGGAAATCCACGTAGGTGGTTCATCCCAGAATTTACAGAGTGTCTTGCGTCTCCCTTGTGCAGGAATTTGTACATCCACAGTACCAAGTCCTTGGTTTGGTCTCTGGGTTTGGGTTGCTCAGGTCACGCCCTTCGCGTCCATCCTCCGGTCTGTGCAGTTGCGCGCCAAGCAGCGAGAGACCATCCTGCGGCGCAGCAGAGGCACGCAGAGTGATCTGCCAATATTACGGCAAGCTCTTGGGTGCAGCGAGCTCACCCTGATGATGGTCCTTTAATTGAGGATCCTATTCCGATTTTGGAATGGATGTAACATTTGCCGATTGATTCGGGATAGGCCAAATTGGCAGTTACAGCATAGTGTTTGATGTTCCAGGCAATTAACAGTGGGCATATCGATGAAAGATGATGACAGCCTATGGCCAATAGCCCCACGATCAAACAAATGGAATTAGGAGACAGGGATGGCCCTTGGCATTCAATTTCAAGTTCCGAGGCCTTTCGTGCAAGTGGCATCGGGGAGCCCGCGCCTCCTTTTTCTTGCAGGGCTGGCTTGTGTAGGGTAGATTCTGTCAGAGAGAGGCTGGCAGGGGTCAGAAAGATTGCCCTGGTCCTGAGCTTGCCCATGTGGCGTGTCTTAAACGCAGGGACCCCAAAATGGTGTTTGCAATTTGGTTTACCTTTAACACCAACCAAAAAGGGGACCCAAAGAAAACGACATGCCCACTTGCAAGAGCCCTAAGAGCACCTGCCAGACGATCCATCACTCGAGAAGATGGTCAAGGACCTCATCCAGGTCCCAAAGAAGCACCGCGGCAGAACATACCTGGGCGGTTCCCAGCCATACCCCTTGGACTCGGCCGCAATGCTCGTTTGGTGGAGCTTACGAGAAGCACCAGCTTGCTGAGCCCAGAAAAAGCAACATTAAGAGTGCACCACACCTGTCTAGCAAACGTACAAATACGTGGGCAACACAAAATGTTCACTCGTAGAGGCTATGCATTTGGGTCTATGGAAGCCATTCGCCCTTTTGGCGCGCTGTGCTGGGAGATGCAGCGCCCGCCAACAGTTTAACTTGTAAGGTAGCAAGGGATCAGCGAACCACTCAGATATGGTCGATCCCCCAAACATTGTAAGTAGGGTTCAGGACAATTGTGTGAGTTACCCTTGTTTGTAGGGATGTGTCACTGGCAAAGTGAGTTGGGACCACTTGTTCGCATGCACCCGAAGCAATCTAGGTTGTTCAAAATCAATCCTCAATCCTTTTGCCAGATGGCCAGATGGTAGAGGTTTGTCTTGTAGAGTCCGACTACGGATTGCGGCATAGAACGAGGGATCCCCCATTTTTAAACAAACTTGCTGACACCCCGCAAAGAGATTGGCCGTAAGAGACTCGGACCCAAGGGTTGGTGGGTACAGGTTAGTTTGGTTTGCCTTTAAATGGGGTGGGGAACTTATGGACCCCCAAAGCGCTTGGTTTTACCTTGATATCCCTTTGAACCGCTGGCAAGCAAACAAAACCAGCCCCAAACTGCCTGGCGAAGTCAAAATCGCCAGCTTCATGGCCCAGGCATTTACCACAGCTCGCAAGCAACATGGGACTGACCATGAATGACGGGACTTGAGCAATGTTGGCGATGGTTCTTTTACCAAAGGGGTTTGTTGGGGTCAAGGATAGCTCGGTTTGCGACCTCACCCATCGGGGAGTTGGGCCAGTTGGATTGTTTACATGGTCAGCAGTGGCTTTGTGTGTGTGCATGTCAAAAATAGAATTGACCCACCAAGTGGTTGGTTTCAGGTTGCCATTGAAATCCTTTTCAAAAAGGGTCAGTATAGTTTAAGACTTACTCGGGGCAATATGGACCAATTACCATCACCATGTATCATCGCTTGAGATGCGAGACTGACACGAACCTCGGAATCAAGGCTTCTGATGGGCATGATATTGGCATGATCAAAATCCACATTGGCTGTGTCCATGTTAGGTTTTCTTATATGCATTGGTTAGAATGCGACAGGCTCAAGACGCGACATGATCTCAGGATCTACTTCTACTGGATTTGTCGCGGACAGGAGACGTGGTGTGCTTCAGCCTTTGTCTCAGGTTGAGCGCTTAAGTGTCATGCAGCTCATGTATGATGTCTCGATCGAAGAGGTTAATGTTCGTGCCTGGACTACAGAACCTAAATGTTATTTGCATGTCTTGAGAATTGTCTTGCTTGTTGGGAGCCGCTCATTGTGGTGGGGGAGGTACGTCTGGAAGAAACAACCCAACCACAAGTTGTTGATACCCTAGGTCACAACCCACTTAAACCATCCCCTAAGTGGAGTTAACTCTGCGATGAGCAAGTCAAGACCCAGGTCCGTGGCAGCCGTGGCAAAGCACAAACAAACTTGGACGGACATCCCCAAGTAGGTTGTTGCGTGTGGCGACGCGCAGGAGGAGTTCGATTGGTTCTGTGACCTGCTGTCCGCAGCGGCCGAGGGGCCGGCGGCCAGCGGGGGGAGCCCAGACATCAGACGCCAAGGGCTCGTTTTGGTTCGCCGTTCAAACGAGTTGGATCCCTTCTGTGCCACACATGTGTTGGTTTGGTTCTTCAGATATGTCGCATAACGGACGAACCAAAAGCCCAACTTAACCAATGTAGCTGCATGTTTGTTGAAGTCTTCTTTTGCCAGTGGTCGGTGGGTTACAGGTTTTAGGCAGAGGGGAAATCGAGGGAACATGCAAAGCAAAAGACCGACAGATCTGGATCCATCTGCCTATCCCTTCGGCAAGAAGACATGAGTGTGTGTGTGAGTTATTTTTGCGTCTAGTTCTTGTTGCCAACTGCCCATGCTCTTGTGTCTCCCATAGGAATCAGAGGTGCTCAGTCTGTCTTCCGGACCCAAAGGCTTGACTCTATGCGCAGCTAATTTGGAACCTCACATTGACGTAGCGGTTCTGCCAAACGTGAAGGATCCCTCCGGAATCGGACCCCAATTAACCAGATGTTCTTCACGGTTCCTTGGTTTCATTCCATCAAAACCATCAAATGCACGGGCGGCTACCGGAAATGAAAGGCCAATAACTGCTTCATGTGAGGCCACGCGGGTAATCCAGTCGTTGCCGGCCAATGGACATTAACTTCACAGTTCACCTCAAACTGCCTGAAACGGTCCCCAAAAACTCACGTGACCGGGCCTAACTAATTAGATAACGATCAAGAACAGATCAGATAATTCGACGTTTCAGTTGGTTTGTTTTAGCAACAAATGCGAAAGAGGAATTGACAGATTGGGGATCCTATCGTCACACTGTTCGTTTTTTAACACCCGATTTCATTGCGGCCCCTTGATATAGTCAGACCTTCGTCACACTCGCGACTTTGTGTTTCAAGCCGTGGTCGGTTTCGCACCAGTCGCTGCTTTGTCCTTTCTTTTTCCCTGGCAAGCGTTCATCCAACGGTCGTCCCACGCATCCCCAGGCATCGTGGAGATTACACTCTTTCTGACGGGCGAGCACGAGCTCTCGACAGCGACTCGAACGCAACCTCAGTGGTTTGTTTCCTCAAAGGTGAGGGAAGCTCGAAGCCACCACTCTGAAGGGTCTTCTACATTGGAAATCAATCCCTGATATTCCATCCCTTTACCACAGTGCTTGCAGGGTACCAGCTTCACGCATTTGCCGCGGTTGGTATTTGAGGTCGATGCATGGTTGCCCGCACTGCCATTGAATGCATTCGGTTCAGTGCACCCATTTTCCCCTTGGGGTTGCTGGGTTGCCCAAACCCGTCAATCCCACGAAGCCGCCCAAGTCCTCAGGCACACAAAGATGACATCACCATCCGGGCTTGTAGGCTTTGTGGTGAGCGCCTGTTGCCCACCGCGGCTTGTGGTGGGGTATTTCCCAAATAGTTATGTAGCGATTCCCTCTAAAACGGTCTGCACCCCCCCTTACTCCTTAGCCTTAAATCCAGGGTTCCCACTGGCGGTGGTCCCAATACGAGTCGCACCGTGCGTACGATTTTGGGAGTGGAGATTCCTTGCAAGCGGCCGGGCGTGGACCTCGGGATCGCTTGGGCCTCGTTTTCGGGATGCTGAATGTTATCGTTGGATGAATAACTCACTTCCTGAGTTCCACTTCAAGCTTTTTGGGACCATGTTATCATGTTAGTGGTCAAAAACAGTTTGGACCCATTCAGGAAGTGAGTTAATAACCTGCATTCACATCAATTCACGGTTATTTCAGCTGTGCTTGGCTCGGACAGTGGCTTGGGGGCTTTTGCGCCTTCCGCGGCTCTCCCATGTCATCTTCCCAGTACAATACGCCCGGCGTTTGGTTTTCCCTTTCTCTATGTGGGTGTGCCATTGAAGTCAGCTGGCAACAAAAGGGTGTCGGTTGTGTTTCCTTCAAAACCCACAGGGCCAAGACTCTGTATCATTCTGTATCGCATGCGTTTGGAGTGTCACCTCTGCGTGTCATAAAATTTTGGGGGAAATTGCAAGGAGCTCACCTGGGTCAAAAGCAGCGCACCCACGGTTCAGGTACTTCATGTGATTCCCTTCAGGCTTGTGAATTCTGATGTGCCCATGGAACGCAATGACACGGCGAGTTCCAAAAGCACACAGGACGTGTTTTAGAAGCCCAGGTTTGAGGAGTTTGCCAAACATAAGGATATGATTTGCGATGATACAAAAGAGTCAGCAATGTGAGATCCAGCTGTGATTGTTTCAGGTTGCCGTACATCACTTGACCCTTCCCTCGGTTCCTGGTTGTCTTCCTTTGGTTTTGTCTTGAAGCTATCCCGGTGTTTGAGCCTATGGCATCCTTCCTGACTCAAAATAAATCCAACAATTCGGTGTCACTCCTCTGTCTTCCTGACTCAAACCAAAGAAATCCAACACTTGTTTCCAGGCGCCCAGCGTGACCTTCAACCTTTTAACCTTTTGGGTGCGCCCTGCGCACACGAACTAAAGGCTTTCAACCTGGAGAACAGCTTGCGGGCCCTATTAGCGGTGCTGAAAGGGTAACTCTTTGCCCCGCATGGAACGAGATTGGCCCGATCCGAAACCATTCCCCGGGTCCTTTCCCAGGCCTCCAAATATATTTCTGGGTGGTTGAAGCATCTGATTTTGGTTGCCAATTCTGGAGCTTCCCTGGCTGCCAATTCTGGAGTTTCCTTTTCGGAATGCTGGTGCTTAAACGGGGCATACAAGAAAGCCCTAGGTGTTCTTGCTTTACAGGGATCTTCCGGTTTTCCACCCCCCGGCTGATTATCGACCCAAATCCTGCTTGAGCTGTAGACCCCTTTGGGTTGGTGTGTTTCCTTGCGAGTTCCCTTTACACCAACCGCAAAACAGGGTAGCATCCACAAGAAGCACATTCCCTAAATGGAGAACACCTCTGACCGGGTAAATCATACCAAAAGGGATCCCTGCAGAACACGCGCGTGTGGTTAGGTGAAGAAGCTCCCCTGCGCCACGGGCCAATTCTTTGGGCGGCCGAACTGGGGCCGCATCTTCAAGCAGCGCCTTCGAACAAACACGGGGAGTTTTGACGGATTAACCCTGAACAGGGCCCCCCAAAAAAGGTAGGGGCTCCAAAAGGGCACCCCCCTCGGGCCACTAATCAGGAGAGTCCTCCTTCGGTGGGGGGATTCGCTTCTTCTGAAAGACATTCCTGATGAACAGATATTTACATGCAGAAGTATGGGAATGAGACGGCTATTCACACGGGATTTTCATGGAGAGGGAGTCAATGTCGCGTCCCAAGTGGTTGAACTTTGCACTGATTGGGAGAACTGTTTTAGTGATAGACACCATTGGACAGTTTTGCGGGCCATTCTGGGGGAAGCGAGTAACTGCGACCTGTTTTTAGTCAAAGATCCGCCCTACACACCCGGAGGGGTGAATCGAGGGTTGACATAACTACGGAGTGTCCTTTTCGTTTCTCTGCAAACTCCAACAAAAAAGGTGTCCGCCATTTTGAGCGACTCCCGCTTGGTTTTTGTAATGAACTTAGGATCGACTAATCCCAGTCTCCCTTGAAGAAGTTATGGAGGGACTCAGGGTGGGCCTGCCTGCCATGTGCGGGGAGAAGAGGGTCAGCATTAGATTTACAAGTTGTCATTTCCGGCTGACATGTCAGGGTATGTAGACGCATGCGCGCACGCACACACACACACACATTACAGCACCATATTCTTTCTTGAGTATCGGACTGTCGTGGGCATACAGCTGATTGGAGGGTGTCTTTGAGTCCGAGGCTCGTGTGTTGAGTGGAGTCGTGAAAGAGGGCTTGGCAATTAGAAGTCAGGGAATAAAAATGGACAGTCCTGGGCTAGCTACCGTGAATCGTGAGCGGCTGCTTTCGCGGCCCCGCTAGAGAAGCTCAAGATCAGGACCATGGAGCGTTGCATGGCAGACGGCTGATGCCACAAGTTCTGTTCTGATTCCTCATGCTGAGCTATGCATGTTTGTGGTTTCCCATATGTCAGGAATATCAGCGTGTGCTGGCTTTTCTTATATAATTGATTCACAATATATGTAGTGGGATAGCGCAATTCTTAGCAGCCGATTCAGCAGACCACGCTTACATCGTTGCCCAACGCCACGTTTGGATCGTTGTACGCAGGGATCGGTCGAAGTTCCAGTGCGGTTTCCCTGTTACTGGGAATTTCACGCATTTCAGTGGATTCCTTTGGATTTACATGTTCATCCGGATCCAGTCAAACTTGACATCACGTGTCTTCGCTCAGGAACAGGGACAAACACCCAGGCGAGCACATTGGCGTCTTCTTGCACCTTGGAAGCTTAGTGGCCACTTGCATGGCTGTGAATCTTGATGGGAAACACCCTCCATTCCATGGCTGGTGGAAGAACTCCCCAGAAGTCCCACCAAAGAGTCCCTGGGATTCATGCCAAAATGTGCAGCCGATGCCAGATCTGACAGAAAGCTGGATCCGTTTCTGAGCGTCCTCAGCCTGCGAACATGGTTGAATGTGTACGTTGATTGTCACCGCCCTTATCGATAGGCTGTTGGGAGGGCAATGTTCCAACAATTGCGCCACTAGCACAACTCGAAATACACAGAAACCAAGCGAGCTTGCGCGGTGTTTTGTTGGTCGTTGCTGTGCAGCGACGGCGGCTTCACGTGCCTACAAAGCCATGATAATATGTGCACACATAGCGCGTATGATGCAGATATAATCATGCCCATGTGCTCAGAGATGGCGGCGATGCGTGCAAGCTAGCGGCAATCAGACTGATACCAGCCGTAAATGTCAACATTGATATTAATTGTTGTTGTTGTGTTGTTTCCCTGAGTCCCTGGACTTTCTACCTGTTGTGAAGATCATTACCAAGTGTCAACTTGCTTTGGCCAGAAAGCGAGAAACACCCTCTGAAGTTTGCCATAGTGTGTTAATTGTCTCCGTTGGAACTGGAGTCGCGCTGCTTGCGCAACACAGGGACTGCAGGGACGCTCTGCCTCATTGAGGCTCAACACACGCACAGACACAAACAACACACATTCTGGTAAACACGCATGCACATGTGTATACATATATATATATATTAAAATAGTTATACGCACCTGTCCACATATAGATGTGTATACATATGCTTGTGCACATCTGTGCAACGCGTTTGTTTGGCTTTGCTCATTGTTGATTTAACACTTCATCTAGTGTAGTTGATGAAAGCCAGAACAGGTATTTCTTCGATGTTAGCCTTGCGTTGCTCCTTGCCAGGCAGGAGAAAATCAGTGATGCTCAAATTTTTCAGAACTTTCACGTGGCCCTCAATTGGTGGTTTGGACTGGTGGTTTGAAGGTTTCTTGTAGGGTGATGGGAAGCCCCGAATCTTCAAGCCACCAATCCAAGCCACCCTTTTTGAGGGAAGCTGAAGCTTGGGAATCAGTTAGGTGGGATTCATCCCAGACAAACCCGCATCCTTGAGAGGAGGTGGCCGTATGTGTGAGCACGTGAATAGTTAACATTTTACATGTGCTTAGGTGGCACAACTCGTCTCAGGTGGCAGGTTCCCAAAAAAGGGCTCGAGGATTGGGTGAAAGTGGATGGTTCAAAACATGTGTGGTTTCCCTTTGGCGACCTTTTTAATAGATCCCAAGTTGGAGATTCCCCAATACCCCCCCGGATCATATGGACCATATTGGACCATATCGTTAGGTGTGGGTCCCCAATCATCGGCGTGGAGCTGTCGAAGCAGAGCCAGAAGAACTCGGATTTGCTCGGTGCCCCGAATGCCACCCGCTTCTCCTTCTTCAAGGAGTCGCGCGGGTGTCGCTCGGGTAAGCCTAGCCCTTGTCTTGGTGCGATGGGCAGGGAATGAGAATTGGAATGACCCCAAAAAACCATCTTACCCTCTCTGCGACTAACATGGCAACTCTTGGAGGACACCTGGAAGATCAGTTTCCTCTTGGAGGGATCCCCTGTCAGGTGTTATGCTAGGGGAAGGGAGGCTACCCCTTGTCACCGTGGCTTAAAGCCAATAGTGATACCACCCAGTTTTGTTGGATCACCCTATTTTAACTTCGCCATTCACGTTTGAAGGGAAGCCAACACAAATACGAAGCATGGAGATCACCCTGTGTTCAATTTATCAAAGTTCAATGTATACTCCCTGAGTTCCTGGACTTTCGCCTTGGGAAGAGAGTTTGTTGGCGAAGCCTTCTTTGAGTGGGCCCTTTTTCGCAAGCTAAGCGTCAGAATGCACTGCAATTGCAAAACCCCCCTTCAGGTGGTCGGTGTTTCATGTAACAGGTTTGCAAGCAATGTGCGACACGGGTTCGGCGCAACATACAGCAATCTGTGGAAGGAGGTTGTTACCCCTTACGCCAGACCCATTGAGCAGCAAGCGCCTTTGAAGCTGAATCATTCAACTCTTCGGATGGGTCGGACGGCGCTGTTGAAACTCTCAGGTAAGAGTTGGTTGTCATGAAGACTTGTGTGCCAGCATTGATTGTTTGAACTGAGTGCTCGCCAGCAGCATCGGAAGATAGCTATCCTGAACATGTCCCATGATTGTTTGTAAACTGTCGAAGCATGCAGGTGATTCGCATAGTTCAAAGCATTTGCTTGTTGTCGTAGATCCATCAGTTTTGTCCAGCAAACATCGGTGATGAGTCATGATGAGTCATGAACTTCAATGACCCACTCGCTTTCGCTCTTTCGTTCACTCTTTCTCTCTCTCTCTCTCTCTTGCTCTCTCTCTCTCTCTCTCTTTTTGCTCCTCTCCCACTAACATAGCAATTGCCACTGGGTTTCCCAAACTGTCCGTTCTTGCCATAGTCACAGACCAGTAGCGGCCGTCCACTCTTGAAGGACTTGATTTGCAAACACAATTTGAGTTTCTTCTGAGGCAAAGAGCATGTTATTCACTTGTACTGTCTTCGTTGTGACATCTAAACGTGTCCATGTACGTGTCAAACCCAGGGAGCCCTCTTTCGTCCACGTTCAAAGGAGACCAGCCTAACGCCAACGATTTTCCTGAATGGCTGGGAGTGTGCACAATATTCAGGGCCGACCTGCGCGAGCAGCGGTGTTTGCAAGTGTGTCTGTGTGTGTGTGTGTGAGTGTGTTTGCTACTTGAAAGCAGGAGCACTTCTAACGCATCGATCGCGGACAACAATCGTTGCAAAGTCAGGCGGGGCTTGCGGCAACATTGGTAGTCCTCTTGCAGGAATGTACCTGTGGAAATTGCATACATGCATTCAGTCTCTGTGTGTTTTGGAGCCCCTCGAAATCGCAGGTTTCATTGTGGCTGTCGATTAAAGCCCTCCAAAAAGTGTGTGAAGGCCTGTAGCTAGCACGCCCGTGTCTTCTCTGTTTGTCCCAACAGATTGAACGCCTTGTCGTGACATGTTTGGACATAAACGCCTCATTCATACCGTGAAATACTAGTTTGACCAATCCGTTGTTTATTTATGGCTAACTCAGCAAGGCATAGAAACGGCTGTTGTTTGAATTCGTTTGTGGTGTCATGGTGGGGAAGGGGGGAATCTGTATGAATGCGAGCTCTGCTTGACACATCGAATCATTGAGCTGTCCAAGGTGTGTTTCAACACGTTGATTTCTGATCAAGGGGGTTTGAAGACTACCATGGCATTACGTCAATGCCTGTCCCATCTGTGTGAACACGTCATTTTGGAGTCATGCCGCTTTCAGGCTACGGTGTTAGTTTTTAATGCACGATATTTGGGTATGTGTCAAAGTAGGGGGACCCAAAACCCTGGTGGGGTTCCTTTTGGTGTTGATTCAAACCAATCTGAAAGGGGTACCCCCAAAAGAACGCACGCCCAATGTTGCCGAGTGAGGTGGCGCATGGCTCCTTTTTTAGGTTTCCGACTCAAAAGGGGCGAAGGGCCTTCACAATGCAGATATTAAACACAAGCAAATAGGTGACAAAACAAATGCACCGAAGGATGGACGGACTGATTGATTGAATGACTTATATACCGACGACAGACCAACAGACAGACAGAGACACAGAGAGAGAGAGAGAGGCAGATCGACAGACAAGTAGATATACGCACACAAACAATCTTTATGTCGCCAAGTCTAGCCAAACCAGCAAACTCAGAACTTCACAGCACAGTTGCGGCCATCTCGTGGCGTGTTCAACCTGGTGTTTCAGCCGCTTGCCGCCTCATCTTGGCAGGAATTCCGCTGCGCGCCCGCCGAGGGAGCCAGTTATTTGCTGCCCGTGAGAGATTTCGGGCTGCGAATGGCATTGACTTTAACTGCACTGCTTTTTTATGGTGGCCCAGCGCGGCCCAAATGGCAGTTCCGATGATGGGGCAACGTGGGGGCGTCCATTCTTCTTCCACTATTCTGCAATGATGGGAAATATCAATGCTTGCCGACATTGAACACGTGCGGTTGTGCTGCCTTTCTTTTGGATTGCATGTCCTAGATGTTCGTTTTGCTTTCGGCTTGGCACATGGGCACTCCTTCAAACTGCCAAGCGTGTATATCAGTGGTGCTGCTTGAATGGAATATACCTCAGACTGCACAAAAACCTAACGGCCTTGCAAATATGTAGGCACAATGAACCTGCGCATTGACCCCACCACTTGCACCAACACTTGAGAGGACGCTGCCATTATTCATTGCACGTGTCAGTGGAGCAGTGATTCCACTGGCAGACCACTGGCCAGGCACTCAGTGCCTGGCTTTTTCTATGGCTTGGGCAGCGAGGCCGTTCCACGGTGCAAACTGTTGGATAAATGGTTGTGGAAAGTTGGTTTTAGGCTCATGTTCTATGAAACAAGGCCCACTAGCACCAAAAAAGAAGCCGGGGTTGGACCAGTTAAGTCGCAGCGTTTGTTTCTGTTTAACCAGCTACCCTCACCCCTGCTTCAAAGGCATCGCAGTGATTTGCTCAAGCCTCGCTTCCACGCTCGCATGTGTTTGTGAGTTGCACAGGGACACGAGAAAGCCAGCCCATGTCTTTGGATGGACGCCCCTCTTCCTCAACCTGAGATTTCACTTCCGTTTGAGGTGTGTTTCCCTGCATGCCGTGCATTTGATGCACTTGCGGTGACTTGCATATGCGTTGCAACACAAATCTAGATAGAGTGCTTTCGGAAGTATTCAATGCCGTTCAGGGGTGAACCCCCCCAAACGAGGGGAGTTAGCTCCTTCATCTTGACGCTGTGCGACAGGCAACTGCGATTTTTCAATGTATCACTTTCGCCTCCGATAACGAACCTGACACGTATGCGACATTCTCAACATACTCAGCGCAACTGTGATTTTTCAATGTATCACTTTCGCCTCCGATAACGAACCTGACACGTATGCGACATTCTCAACATACTCAGCATCAAGTCTTATTGTTAATTGAGCCACTTCTTATTCTCGTTGGGACATGCACGACATGTGTTGAACTCCGTGTCATGTTTAGCAGTAGCTGCCTATGGCAAAGGCTGATTCCTACATATTGGAGCCCTGGCCAGGGTCGGCCCTTTTCTTGATCGGTTTCCAGTGATTCAGTTGATAAGGCCATAAGTGGTCGATGAACCAATATATAATAAACTGGTTACGGGAATTTTGAGCTTCGACCGCCAAAAGGAAAAGGAGTTTTGTTGATGACAATGAGCTGCCCGGTGTTCTCCCAAGCTTCAGATCCTGGGACTTGCGAGTTTGGATCCTGGCATGGTCAGTTCTCCTGTGTCCCCCAGGATTCTGGGAGGTTCATGGAATTCAAGAGTTTGCTTCGAGCGCTGCAGCGTGCCAGATCCAAAAGAGATGTCCGTGGCTCGTGACGAATGCGAGATGTTTGGGCTATGGCCAGTAGTATCGCACAGTAACCGCAACAACTTCACATGAGTTACATGTATGAATTGATCTGCTCTCATGAGTTATGTCACACGTCGGTGGCTTCGAAATGGCAAGGAAGACGTGTGTTCACACTTGCTTGTCGACAAGTTCATGCAACGTGCACTTCTGTGTTCTCTTTGTTCATCCCAAGACATTTGTTGGGATGTTCTTTGAAGAACAGCGCCATCGCAGCATTCGCTAGAGGGAGAGCAACCTGACTGGTCACTTCCCCCTAATCATAAACACTCCAAGAAGAAAGTTTGCCTGGCAAAGTTTAGTCATTGGATTCATAGGGCACAGTTGGGAACCAGGAGGTTTGGCAAATCGGGGAAGTGATGACACAGAGCCAGCGCACCCGAGCTCACTGGCCTGGGCTGATCCCGGATCAATCCCATCAGGTGGTTGGATTTCTTCCTTTGGGCTGGCCACAAGGGACTCCCCTTCAGAGCAATATCTTGGACTTCAGTCACTTTGTGGGTTTGGACAGTTTAGTGAACGATTTGGGTCTGCTTTGTTTACGGTATTTTCTTTGGGGCTGCTTGAAAAGGGAAACCACAGAGAAAGCTAATGTGTTTTGGGCCCCCTATTTTGAGACACTCATTTCTTGCGATTTGTGAACCATAATTTGAAGATGCACCTATCATGTGCACACACGAGTTCATTGACCAGTTGTTGCTTTTGCTTGAAGCCGCCTCATTGCTGATTCGGATGTTACATCCTTTGAACTCGACCTCTTTGATTTCTGATTTCAGGTGGCCAAGCACTCCAAGGAGGTCGCACGTCTTGAGGAAGCCCTTCTCGCCGAGGACCAAAAGGCGCTCAGGGCGCTTAAAGCGGATTTTTCTCTTAATGACCAATGCAATTTGCTGGTGAATGGCAATAGACATTTTGTTGGAATTTGCGCATACACGTGTGTTCGTCGTGCATGTATGCATGCCTGCCTTGCTAGCGGGCGGTGTGAGAGGGCGTGAGGGTAGGCCAGGGGGTGGGGTGGGTGGGCAGTCGGGCGGCCAAGCGAGTGCTTGATGTTTGTGTGTCTCTTGGTTTCTTGCTTGTTTGTTGGTCAGCATTTCTCAGTAATATATATATATATATATTCGTGTTTTGGCGTGTGTGTGTGTGTGTGTCTGTGTGTGTGTGTGTCTGTGTGTGTGGGGGGCGTGGGGGTTTTGGTCCGTGGGTGCGTGTGTGTGCGGGTGCGCGCCGGCGTGGGCGGGGTTGCGTGTGCGTGTGTGTGTGTGTGGGTGGTGTGGTGTGTGTTTGTGTTTGTGTGTGTGCATGTCTGTGTGTCTCTGTGTGTGTGTTTTTTTGCTTCCTGTTTTTCTTGCTTGCTTACTTGCTTGCTTGCTTGCTTGCTTGCTTGCTTGCTTGCTTGCTTGCGCGCATGCGTGCATGCTTGTTTGCGTCCTTGCCTGCTACTGTGTTTGTTTGATTGTTTGTTTGTTTGTTTGTCTGTTTGTTTCTTTTTTTGTTTGTCTGTCTGTCTGTCTGTTTGTGTGTTTGTTTGCTTGTTTGGTTGCTTGATTGTTTGTTTGTTTGGTTGTTTGTTTCTTTGTTTGTTTGCTTGTCTGTTTGTCTGTCTGTCTGTGTGTGTGTTTGTTTGTTTGCTTGCTTGCTTGCTTGCTTGTTTGTTTGTTTGTCTGTTTGTGTGTGTGTGTGTTTTGTTTGCTTGCTTGCTTGCTTGTTTGTTTGTTTGGTTGTGTGTTTGTTGGTTGGTTTGCTTGCGTGCTTGCTTGCTTGCTTGTTTGTTTGTTTATTTGTTTGTTTGGTGTCTTTGTGTTGTGTGCTTGTTGCGTGTATTGTGTGTTTGTGCGTGTTGTGTGTGTGTGTGTTGCTGTTGTTGTGTGCGTGTGTTGTAATTGTGTGTGTGTGTGTGTGTTTTGTTTATGTGTTCCGCGTGTCTGTGTGTGTGTTTTTTGTGTGAGTGTGTGCTTGTGTGGGTTCTTCAAGTGTGTTTTGTGTGTGTGTGTTGCGGTTGTGTATTGCATGTGTTTGCGAGTTTCTTTTTTAATGTGTCTGTGCGTGTGTGCATGTGGTTGGTTGTTTGTGAGTGACTGTTTTCTTGCACGGTTGTGCGTGTAGTTGTGCGTTGCATGTGTTTAGAGTGTTTGTGAGTTTCTGTTTATCTTTCCGTGTGTGTGTGTGTGCGTTTGATCGAGTCATGTGAGTTTCAATGTCGACGCCGTGGTTCAACTCCTTGCTTGCATGGATCGGTAAGGAAACCAAGAGCCCAAGCTTTACTTGGAGACGGCATCTTCATTCATAGCTCCCTCAACACGCCAAAGCCGACCTGTGGAATTGTTTTGATTTGCATTCTGGTGGGAAGGTCGGTTTCTTGCTAGTCTGAAAAAGCCCAAGGCATCTTAAGTGCCTAAATCATTGGAATGGGGTTGTGGGGCTTTCAAATCAAGTTTAGTCGAGTCATCCTGAGACAATATCAATATTTGGCCCAAACCCTATGAACGCAGGAAATCGGTGCGCCGGTGCCAGGCCACTCAGTGCAGCGATGCCCTCTCGGCCCTCGCAAGCCTTGAGAAGGACGGAGTGTTCGCTGTCGCAGAGAAAAGTGCAGTTGGGTGCGTTTAGTTTTTGAGTGGAAGCGCTGGTTTGCCTGCAAAACAAGCGTATCCTTAACGATAGAAACACTCAGTTAAAGACATTGGGATGTAGTTTTGATCTCAGAGGGCATGAGGGGACGACACCAGTCTGAAACAGCGTTGAAAAGGGCTTGGGTCTCACACACACAGACACACACAGACACACAGACACACAGACACAGACACACAGACACACACACAGACACACACACACACACACAGACAGCATCAGGCCAAGGCTGAAGAGAAGGCGGCAGCAGAACAAGCCGCAGCCGAGGCGGCTGCGGCAGCGGAAAAGGCAGCAGCGGAGAAGGCGGCAGCAGAGGCGGCGGCTGCTGCAGCAGAGAAGGCGGCACAGGAGGCGGCAGCAGCTCAAGCAGCCGAAAAGGCAGCAGAGGAGAAAGCTGCTGAGCGGAAGGTTGAGGAAGCGGCTGAGGTTTCTGCCAAGCCAGCGGAGGCGATTGTCAGTTTCGTTCGTGCATGATGCATGTGAAGTGTTCTTTTGGTGCCTTGCCGCAGTGCATATTGGAAGAGGCTAGAGGGATTGTGCACATGGGCGGGCCGCGCCTTGGTTTTTTGGTGTTTGGACTATGTACCACGTTTGACGTGTTCTATTGAATGGGCTCCAGCTTGCACGGACAATCATGCGTATAGCATCCTAGAACTCATCTTTTAGAACCGACTTAGGGTCACCCACAGTATGTGTTTGCAACACGCAACCAGTGGAGGCTGTGATGGCAGCAGCTGAGGCAGGGGGTCCGTCACGTGAGAATTGATTGAACGTCCACTGGCAACTTGATGCCAGCTTCCACTTGGGCAGGATGTCCTACGTGGGCCTCCGTGCGGTCGGCACAGAGCTAGCAAGTACATATTTCTTCCAAAGATACAATTTTGATTGTAAGTGCCCAGGACATGAATGCCCAGTGTTTTGCTGCAACCTGAAGTCAGGCATGAATCACTTGCTTAAGACAGGTAGCTAACTGGGTTTGACCCGAGGATCGTGCAATGGCCCCCCTTGATCCCGGTGCCCGACTTAAAAGTGTAGCTTCCAGTTGCAACACAATGGCTAGACCGTGACCATGTGATTCCCAGTTGCATAGGTGTGATTTTTTGGTTAGTTTGGATAGAAATAGATGGGTTCCATTGGTTTAGAATGGTTTTATTCAAGTGTCCAGGGCCATGATTCTTTTCAAGGGTCACCTATGGCATCTTGAACTTGCACTGATCGCGATACTTTGGGTTGTGTCGATTCCCGTGTTCAGACAAGCACATGTAAATCGCTGGCAGCGACAAGCGATTTCCTGCAGACCGAAGCTTTTACGCATTTTCTGAACCTGCAAACCTTTTTGCTCTACTGTACAATGGCAAGCTATCGCATTTTGTGGCAATCCAGCCGCATAGCAGCAGAGGAAGTGCTGAAGCCCCTTGGCATGAACTTCCATCATGCAATTCATGGCGTGCTCGACACCTCTGTGCCCAGTGGCATGGGAGTTCCTGTGAAACACCGAGATACCTTCCCCAGAATTAGCTCCCCTTTTGATTTTTGCTTTTTTGGGGGTCCCTTTGTTTTCCACTAACCAGGCAAACATATATTTTTTTGCTGGGCTCCTAGCCTAGATACTTGGTATAAGAAGGTCAGCAAGTGCCAGGACATGGAGCCTCCCACCAAGCGCCTGCGCACGGAGGTGCGTTCCGTACGACGGGGGGAGGGGAGAACCAACAAGCTTTCCCTTTAGAACCACCCCAAGCAGGGTACCCACCAACATCACATTCATGACTACCCTGCTTGATGGATTCATCCGTATCCCTGCTTCCCCCAAACACTGCTAGTTTTTTGTTATGTTTCCCAAACAGAGGACGATCAAACCTTTGTGTCAGTGCTTGTCTTCAGGAGAGCGAGCAAGTTTCCGATTGAAGAGCTCCCAAAAAGGTGGCCTCAACAAAAAACACCTGTGAATGCTTGGTTCAACCTCTCCAAGTGATTAGTGTGAGTCTCCTTTGAGTCCCTTTTGGCCAATGGCCAGAATCAAGGAAGCAATGTTGGACCGGGTCGAGAGGCAATTGAACAGAAAAAGAGGCAGCAAGCATGGCTCATTTGACCCACCGGGTGCTTGCCAAAGGTCTCCATCCACAAGGCTTAAGCCTCAAGCCACGAAGTGATATGCCATCCAGCCAGATGGCAAAACAAGTCTGGATGGGGATTTCCCGAGGCCGATCAGCTATGACTTTCCATAGGTGTAGATTTGAACACCGGACCTTCTACTTCCTCTCCGTTTCAAGAACATGTGGGTCACAACAAGCAGATTCAACCGATGTCGAAGATATAATACGTATATACACTTCATTACATAGCAGTGTTTAGACACATTTATGTGATTTCTTGCACGTATCAGTGTTCCCTTGCTGTCAAACAGCTTATTCTGGGAGGGTGGCACATTTGGTCATGATCGTCGTGCACACTTGCCGCGGGCCTTGGCAGCTGGCTCAAGAATTTCGAGACCAGGCTCCGGACACGTAGGGAGAATGCGGGGTTCAACGACGTCATCAACATGGAGCTCCCTTCTGTTTGCTGAATCATTCATCCAGGTGACAGGCGTGTTGATCTCAAGCATCAGAGAGGTTGTAAAGCTGATGTTTATGTCCGGCAAAACGCTCTTGTTGCTTTTTCCAGCAATCTGCTCTGAAACTCGGAATGATGGCCTGTTTCATGTAGCCAACGATTTGGAGGGGAATTCATGTTATTTCCAAATCGAGGTACTTCCTTCCGTGAGAAGGCGGCAGACTGATTTGTGCAGCCACATCTAGATTTGTTTTTGTTCCCCTTTTGTTACCCCTGAACGAGGGAGAATGCACTGGGGTCCAAATGGCTGTGTGCCAAAATAGGGCAAACCCCAACATGGCATCGGTTTTGCTTCTGGCTTTCCTTTAGTCCAGCCCCGAAATGGGACCCTTTCGTTTTGAGCAAGCCTCGCTTGAAAACTCGGGCAGCCCGGTTTGGGTCTCACGCCCATGCGATCGCGACCATGGAGGCCTGCCGCGTCGGTTTCACCCGAGATGCGAAGCCAGAAATTCTGCACCCTTCTGGCTGTTTCGGGACCAACGAATGAGAAAATGAGCAAATTGTTGGGACCTGCAAAGGAGCAAACTTGAGCAGGGGATGGTCGGTGCAGCACTCATCACGCACAGGCTGTTCTTGCTGCGTGAGGGGGGAGCAGGACATGGATGGCCATTTACCCACGTACCAACGAAGCGCGCAAACAGGAGGTTTATCCCATAACCTGCTACAGCTCATGGATCAAGAACGGCTCGCCATCGCTTGGGACTCGCGAACTCGCGATTGCAGGCACTGGCCCAGAGCCTTCTGTCGGAGGAAAACACGCTCGACGGCTTGGCGGAAGGCGATCGGGACGTCATGGCGCTGGTGTCATCACGCGATCCTTTTTTACGATCGGGCACAAACCGAACAGGGCCTCAACAGTTGGATTGGGGTCGTAAAATACTTCAAGACCATACTCTGTCTTTGTCAAGCCATACTCTGTCATCATCATTAGATATTGACGTTTGTAGTTATTTGACTATCATGTTTGGCGTGAGGCTGGTTTGTCCATCTCTTGCCAATGAGAGCTACGGGTGAAGGTGCGACTGGCTTAAAGCGTTTGGTAATTTGCTTCAATGTATGGGCTAGCGTTGACTAGAAACATGGTTGTCTTTGCTTCTTCACTGTCCCTCAAAATCCAGAACCAAAGGGCCCTGTCGTCCAATGACAACTGGGCAAGTGAGATATTCGCAGATGGATGACGCTGCTGTGGCTTGGGATACGAGGAAAGCCAATCGTTAGATATGGTTTCAGGACCTGTGATACAAGTGACTAGGCTTTTGCCAGTGGCCATCAGAAATCCAACAACACATAGGACCTTCCCCTCAGTTCAAAGCATACCCATGACATGTTTTCGGTACTAAACTCACTGCAAACTCCATTCTCGCCATGGAATCTATGGAACCTTGGAAGAAGGGGTCACAGGTCCTTCCTGTTGACACGCAAAGACATATTTACCCAGATCTGTGCGTACACTTGCATACACATTTGGATGTACGTGCATTGTACAAAATTTCTCTGTATATCTTATGCACACACACACAGAGGTCTGTGTTCAAACTCCTGTGGGCATGCTTGTTAAACTCACTACCCTGATAAAAAGACAACTTCAAAACCCCCCGTTGGGGGGGGTCCCTTAGAATCCCCCCCTCCCCCCCGCACCATAAGTATTGTTTGAAGACCTCACATTGTGTCGTTGCTCTTTTTCCTTCCAAGGGGCTTGTACCACCTTCGGGGGGCAGTAAGCCCCTGAAACAGGGTCATCTTCGAGTGATTCAACTGAACTGGGCATTGCCCTCCAGGCACGCCAGCCCAGCTCACTCGTTTGCTGCAGCGCCTGGGGCGACAGAAGCGACACAAGTTGGTGCTGCGCATCCTGCGAGCTGCACAGGCCATTGGGTTGGCATGTTTTGTGTCTCGGATGACCATGGAGGCTGGGTGCTGGCAGCTATCCTCTAGAAACTGCAGAGAAGAAGAACAGTAATGAAGTCCAAAAAGTGATTCTCAAACAGATGTGTGATTCATGTGACATGTCCGCTTTCCGGAGCGGAACGGCCAATCCTCTAGGACTTGTTTTAGCTATTCAAGGTTGCGTTGAGCTGAGCCACTTGATCCTTCGCAGGTTGCCAAAAGGATCATGCGGATTTTCGGGGAAACCTCAAGCAAAAATTGCTAAGTTTGGTGGGAAGGCCTTGAGTTCCCTGGGGTTGATTCGAGCCCTTGATGGTTGAGCCTTTTCCTAAGCAAACCAAGAACATGTTCGGAGATACTTTTACATTTTGCCGGTGACCACCAAGCAAACACGATTGTGTAACATGTTTGAGGGACATGATGGATACACATCAATTTGAACATAAATATATATATATATATATACACACATGTATATGTATAATATACGAACACATACCTGCATGTTTGGCAACAGAGGCCAGAAAGCAACACATGAGCAGCTCCCCCTGCCCCGCCCCCCCCCCCCCCCCGATCCCCGCGAATTCGCCTCTCCAGGCTTATGGGCTCGAGACCAATGTGGTGCATTGGAACCAGCTGCTTTGCAGCCTGGAGCGGCAGAAGCTGTGGCAGGACGCGGGGTGAATCGTTCGCTCACAGAGACAGCGCGGCAAGGTTCAAGGTTCGAGAAAGAAAACTGTAAGTGATCACCCTTCAAGTATCATGGAAGCTGACGAATGGAAGGTGTGGAAAGACTATACTCTTGGGGGACCGCAAAGTGATGAAGGTCCCGAGCAGCTTTTCTTCTGTTTTTCTTTCTGAATTCCATCCTAGCATCGAAGTCACACATCCCTTTGCCTATCCTGCTTCAAGCTCAACCAGGCTTCCTTTTTGCAAGGGATCATACAGGAAGCCGAGCTGTACACATCTAACCGAACAGTTGCTCGAACTGGAAAATTCGAATGCCTGGCCGTCTTCTTGTTTGGACTAACCGGTGCTTCATAAATCAAGCAGAACCTTGATTGTTCTTTCCGCGGGAGCACAGTGCCATCCGATCCCAACGCTCGTTCCAAGCGTTGGGGGAACGAGCATTGGGGCAGCAGAACCTTGATTGTTCCTTGGACCAACGGAGGACCAGCAGTTTCCAGTGTCAAAGATCACCTTGGGGTGCCAAGTGCTTAGGTGAGCTTAATTTTGGTGGGGTGGTGTGCAAAAGTTGGGGTCATTATTTTGCCCGAAGTGACTGCACGCCAGGACATGAAACCCAAAACCCAACCCTTCTTGTGGCTGGTCGTTCCCCTTTTGCCGGGTCCTTCCGTCCTTTTGGCTGCCACCGGCGCTTTCTCTCTTTGGTTCATCTAAGGGACACCTAGCAACTGCTCCCACATCCAGGACCCAAATCCACATCCACATCCAGGGGAATTCACATGCAGGGCCCAAAACCCAAACGGAGATTTCCCCTGGACATGTCTGACCAGGAGACCCTGCTGCAGCTGCGGAGCCTGCAGAGCCGCCAGCTCCAGGCGCGGATTGGGCCACTTGGTGAAGCAAGGATCTGGGTGGTTCTTGTTGAGGCTGGGTATCCATGTTGGGCTGGTTTGAAAGGGAAACCAAAGGGAAAACTGCGAAATGTGTGGGGTTGCTCTACTTGGACACATAGCCACATGTTCGAAAAAGCTCCCTAACTGACTCTTTAACTCAAACTTGCCCAACTCTGCTCGGTTGAGATGGATCCGGGTTCCCCTCCACAAGATACGGACCACTGCCTGAAGATCACAGCTTTAGGGCCCACTCTGGGATGGCTGTTCAAGGTTGAGGATAGTGAATAGGAAGCAAAAGTAAGTTATCAGGAGCACAGTTTGCAGTTTGCTTGTGTTGGGCAGAAGGCTCCCCAAACAGTCTGGCAAGCAGAGAGTTGCACCGTGGTCCTACAGGTGGGACATAGTTTTCACAGCACAAGGCGGATTCTCAAAGCATCTCAAAAGCGGGTGTTTTGGGGGTGGGCGACGTTAAGTCCCGTCACTTGCTGTATGGCCGCGGGGGGGTTGTCTGGCTAAACTCACTTGATGACCTCCCCCAAAATTTGAAGGTGATGTTCAAAACGGGGAAGAAGGTTAGCATAGGCAACCCCAGGATGTGGCATTCGCGCATCTACAAGAGATGTATCAGTTGATGGACTGCCAGCGTGACGTGGTGCAGAGCTTGGAAACCTTGAAGCCTTGAAGCTTTGCGAGTACACAACACGGGTGCTCAAGAGGTGAGCACTGACACCACCAGACAGAGAACATGCCTGGGGCTTCAAGTGTTTGGCCTGTTTGAGCACGTGTTTTTTTACATAGGATTCTTATGAACATCTGAAGACCTCATGTTTGGTGTACCCGTTTGCAGGCCTCCGCCTTCTCAGCGAGCAGCGCCTGCGGCGCTTGCAGCGGTGTGTGGCAGTGGGCGCTCAGGGCGCTGCCGGAGAGGAGGCACGCGGGCTGCAATGGGCTCAGTGTGCATCAGCGGGGCAACCTACACATACTTACTCTCGCTTACTCAACTTACACTCGCTAACTTTGCATACTTACTTTCACTCCCTCAACTTACCCGCACTGAGTTTCAACCACCTATTTTCACACCCTCGCATATACATTTACACCCTCAATTTACACCTACTGCTTTGTACACGCCTTTGTTGTTTCCCTTGGCAGGCGCAGTACTTGAGACTAGTCTGCGCGGACCGGGCACTGCGGGTGCTGTTTGCGTGGACGGCACAGTACTTTGGGTGTGTTGATGCTGGATTGCGTGGTAGGCGCAGTATTCTGCGCGCCCCGATGCAAATGCTGGATATCTCATAAAGACAAACATGTCTACGCTTATGTGTATCTCACTGACATGAAATGTTTGCTCTCAAGATAGGCATGCGGGGTTATTCGATAATTTCCTGTTCATTTTTTTTTAAGGATTTTGTTCGTTTTTGTTTGTTTTGATTTTTTTGTTTTTCAGGGTGGGTGGCTTTTTGGCTTTTGTGGGTTTTTGTGGCTTTTACGTGGGTTTACGTGGGTTTTTGCGGCTTTTCATTTCGCATCCTCTGCATTCACAGTTCTTCTCTGTTTGTCTTTGTGGGTTCATGCGGCTTTTGCGGCTTTGGCTTTTCGCATCCTCTGCATTGCCAATTCCACTCCTTGTGGCTTTTGGCGGCTTTCTGGCTTTGGCTTTTCGCATCCTCTGCTTTCCCAGTTGGTTTTTGGCCTTGGCTTCCTGCATCCTCAGCATCGCCAGTTCTTCTCTGGTGCCCCCCGCCACCCCCCTTTCGATTAAAATGCACGCCTAATTGAATCATCACTTTTTCGATCATCATGCGACAGCTACTTTTTAGATTCTTTGCCCCGAATTGAATCATCACATGTTCGATCATCATGGAGGGGGCTGCCGCCCCCCCCCAACCCCCCGCTGCTTATATATATATATATATATTTTGCCCCAATTGAATCATCACTTGTTCGATCATCATGGGGCTATTTTTTGGCCTTAATTGAATCATCACTTTTTTGATCACCATGGGGGGCTGCCGCCCCGCCCCCCAACCCCCCCGCTACTTTTTTTTGATTTTTTGCAATTTCAATCATCATGGGGATGCTGCCGCCCCCCCAACCCCCCCGCTACGTTTTAGGTGTTTTACAGGGATTACTTTGCCCGTAATTGAAACCTCACTTTTGCCATCATGACAGGGACCTGCCCCTCTTTTTAACATGCATACAGAAATGCCTACCTACCTTGCCGGAGAGGAACTGATGATGCTGAAGATGTAGGAAGCCAAGGCCCTCGATTTGCTGGTGATGCTGGGGATGTTGGCTGGACATGCAAACGATGCTAATGATGTTGACGGACTAGCGTAAAATACGTGCATGTCGCGAGAAAATGCTGTAAATTGCAGCATTTTAGTAGCCAGTACGGAAAACACACAAAAATCCCAAAATACAACAAACAAAAACCCAAATTCAATCTCGACCCATTAATGAATGAATGAACGAACGAACAAACGAATGAATGAATGGAATGAACGGAATGAATGGAATGAATAGAATGAAGGGATTGCATGGAATGAATGGAATAAATGGAATGAACGGAATGAACGGAATGAATGGACTGAATGGAATGAATGGAACGAATGCAGTGAATGGAATGAATGGAATGAATGAATGGAATGAATGGAATGAATGGAATGAAGGGATTGAATGGAATGAATGGAATGAGTGGAATGAACGGAATGAATGGAGTGAATGGAATGCATGAATGAACGACTGAATGCATGAATCCATGAATGAATGAATGATTGAATGACTGAATGACTGAATGAATGAATGACTGACTGACTGACTGACTGAATGAATGAATGAATATGGAATGCCTGAAATGACTGACTGAATGAATGAATGAACGAATGAATGAATGAATGAATGAATGAATGAATGAATGAATGAAATGACTTGACATGAAATGAAATGAAATGTGATGAATTGAGCTGAATTGAATTGAACTGAAATGAATGAACTCATGAATGAACTGACATTAATTGAAAGGAATGGAATTGAACTGACATGAGTGAATGAATGAATGACATGACATGACGTGACATGAACTGACATGATATTAATTGAAATGACATGACGTGGAATGACATGATATGAAGTGGCGTGAAGCAATATGAAGTGAAATTGAGCGAAGTGACATCAAAGCAATGAACTGAAATGAATCGACCATGACAGGAAGTGGAGCAAAACGTAACGAGACGAAGTGACATGAATGACATGACATGACTTGAAATCACATGAAATGACATGAGGTGAAATGAAGCGACTTGATATGAACTGATATTATCATGAAGTGAAATGAAATGGTATGGTATAGTATGGTATGGGCTGAATGCATGACTGACTGACTGACTGACTGACTGAATGAATGGATGAATGAAAGAATGAATGAAAGAATGAATGAATGAATGAATGAATGAATGAATGAATGAATGAATGAATGAATGCATGAATGAATGAATGAATGAATGAATGAATGAATTGATGAATGACGCTGAATGAAAACCATGACATGCCATGACATGATGTAACATCTTATGGCATGACATGATGGACATCATGCGCATGCGTGCATGCAAGCATGCATGCATGCAGGGAGGGAGGGAGGGAGGGGGGGGAGGGAGGGGGGGGAGGGAGGGGGGGGAGGGAGGGAAAGAGCAACGCACAAATAATGTATAACATGCATGCGTGTGCGCGTGTAGTTGCGCGCGCTGCTGTGATTGCCTCGCCCAAAATCTGGCCACTCCATCATTGACTCCTTGCATTCCTGCATGGACCTCTCACTTGCAGGCGCACCGCAAAGCGCTGTTGGCACCTCGTCCTTCGGCCCGCTGCGCTTTTGCGCGGCCTGGTCGTATGAGGAGAGCCAGGAACCTTTTCGGTCGCCCTTTAGTTTTGACCTCTGCGCGTGCCGTGCTCAGGGCGCCATTGGCGACTTCCTCATCGGGTGCTACAGCTCCGAAGGCTAGCGCTCTTCGTTGCCAAGCTTTAGCTGCTCACACGTTTGCGTGGAAGGACAGCTGGAGGAGATATATAAGATATCTTCCCGCGAGAAGGAGGCGCTGTCATGAGTACGAATTGGCAGACTGTCTCTGTGTGCGAGAGCCAGGAAACTAGTCGCCCACCTGGCCGCTGATAAAGTTCCTTGGCCGCAGCACACTTAGGCATTTGCTCTAGGCAAGTCCTTTTGCGCAGGCGTGACCTTTGCGGATTTCTCCGAGGAGGCCATTTTTTCAGGAGCTTTCTCCGCGCTGGCTTTTGGCTTTCGGGGCTTTTTCCGTGGTGGCTTTGGCCGCTTTGGCTTTCCACATCCTCAGCATCAACAGTAGCACCCCCTGAACCACCAGCCACCCCTACATCACAAGCGATTTCTTCTTCCAGTGTGTGTTCACGTGCGTTCCTGTTGTAGGGAAAACGCCTTTGCTTCTTATAGATCGTTTGTTCGGCTTTGTGATGCTGGAACGGCAAAGCCAAATCCCTAAAGAATCCAAAGCCCGCCCTAAACCTTCCACTAAAACTAAGCCAGCCTCGAGCCCGCCTTAAACCACCACTGAACCCACCCGAAAGAAGCACTATGGATTCTTAAGCCCGCCCAAACCACCCTAAACACTCTAAATCAGCAATCTCTCATCGCTAAACCATCCTTTAAACCATCGCTAAACCAACATCTCCAAACCAACTCTAAACCTAGCCTGAACCAACCCTAACCCCAGCAAAGCCAATTCCAGACTCACCCTAAATCCACACTACACAAGCTAAACCATCCAGAAACACCCAAAACCTACTAACCTTATGCCTACACTGAACCAACCCAAGCAGCCTCCACCCAAAGCCCTAAACCCTGAACCAATTGAATACCCGACGCTTTTCCCACCCTAAGCCAGCTCTGAACAACCATGAACAACCCTAACAAATCCTAAGCAATCGCTACGCCCTCCGCCCAATCTCCCCCCCCAAGCCAACCATGGCAAGCCCTGCACTTTGTAGGGGCGTGCTGTGAACCAGCCCCCACAAACAAACTTGACTTTTTCTTGAGAATTGCGGCGGGGGCGCAAGGGATCTGCAGTCAACAAGAGCCTGGGAAGCGGAACGCTTCTGCCCGCAGCTTTTCATTGCGAGTTGCGAAACCGGTGAGGGTGCCGTTTGTATGGTTGGACTATGGCTGAGTGCAGTTGCAAAAACAATCCTGATTGAGATGGAAGCACTGGCTGTTAGGAAGACTCTGGCTCTTTCGCGCAGGCCGAGGCCGGCTCTTTTGCTTGGCTGTGCTGGGGTCTCACCACAAGTGACAGCCATGGCCAGCGACGGTTCTAGAATCACCGTGCCCCATGTCTAGATCTGGCAGTCTGTGTTTGGTGGCATCCGGAGCCCGATGATCCGAAATCGGGGAGAGAGAGAGAGAGAGAGAGAGAGAGAAAAAAAAAGAAAGAGAGAGAGAGAAAGAGAGAGAGAGAGAGAGAAAAAAGAAAAGAAAGAAAGAGAGAGAGAGAAAGAGAGAGAGAGAGAGACAGAGACACAGAGAGATGTTCAGGCATTCGGGACCGCTGAGAAAAGTCGTGGCGCGCTCAGCTCACTCTAGTGCAATAGCTGCCGCCGCCTGTTGTGCGGTATGCCCTGTGTGTGCAATAGTGTGTGCCTTTCGCCAACCAATGCCTTAGTGAAGTTTTGTGATAATGCAATCACAGTACGGGCAACCCGCAACACAAACAATGAGTGCAACTGCTCTTGTGGCCGCGCTGATGCATTTAGGGAACAGGCATCGAGGAGGAGCGCAACAAGATTTGCAGCCCCTTAAAAGCGCACAGCGATTCTTAAATGCGTAAGGAAAGAAATATTGGCCCGGCGCAAGTCATCCCATGTGCAGCGCGGATGTGGCGCGAAAGTCAGCTGCTCAC